GCCACCATGCCTGGCTAACTTTTTGATTTATTGTAGAGAACAGGTCTCACCAAATTGCCCGGGCTGGTCTTGACCTGTGGGCTCAGGCATTCCTCTCACCTCTGCCTCTCAAGGTGCTGGGTTTACAGGCATGAGCCACTGTACCTGGCTCTGAATGTGTTTTGACAGTACAGTCCCCTACATACAAACGAGTTCCATTCTGAGAGCATGTTCATAAGTCCAACAAAGTTAGCCTAGGTACCCAACTAGCATGTTGGGCTATACAGTACTGTAATGGGTTTATAATACTTTTCACATAAGTAATACATAAAAAACACGAATAAAACATTTTTAATCTTACAATACCTTGAAAAGCACAGTAGTGCAGTACAGTACAACAGCTGGCATACAGGGGCTGGCATTGAGTGAACAGGGAAGAAGAGTTACTAACTGAAGTTGGGAGATGGCAGAGCTGAAGGATTGTCCACAACAGGAGACGGAGGGCAAGCCACAGTTTCACGCATGCCTGATGTTGATGGCACAGGTTCTCATTCCTTGCTGGATTCAATTCTAACTACCCTCTAGAAAAATGATTCAGTGATGTCTGTGCAGTACTGTGCTGTACTACTATTCTTTATATAGTGCTGTATAGTAAAGTACACAAAAGCACAAACAGTTATAGGGATGCACACGTGTAACAATGTACGCCAGACACGTGAACTAACGTGATTGGACATGCAAACACGTGTTTGCATCTTTGAACGTTTGCAACTCAATGGTTTGTGTATAGGGGACTTACTGTAGAGCCAACTGAGTTTGGGAGGAAGGTCATGTTGTCATGAGCAGAGGAAAGGCGAAATAATTGCCTAGAAAAAAGTGAATAAACCTGGGAATTTGTAGTAAGCTTACCAGGAAATATGAAGGGCCTGCTTGAGGGCAGTGGTTGTGAGTTTAAAATGAGAAAGAATAGTCAGCATGTGTGTGTTTTTTTCTCAAGCTGTTTTTTTTTTTTTGAGTTGGAGTCTCACTCTGTCACCCAGATTGGAGTGCAGTGGCCG